AGGGCATCACTGTCACTCTCATTTTACACATGAGGAAACTGAGGCCCTGAGAGATTAAGTAACTCTGCAGAGCTGAGACTCAAACCCATGTCCGTACCCTTCCCACCCTCCCAAGTGACCCCTGCTCAGTGGACTCCCCAGGTCCGTGACCCTGGTCACTTTTGAAAGAGTTACAGTTGTTTGTGCAGAGTGATATTGAATGGAGGGGTGGGGGCATCCGGTGTCCTCTCCTCAGAGCCCTCCTGAGGTCCTTTTTGTACAGTGTGACGTCAGGGCCAGAAGCTCAGGGCGGTTTGCCATTAAAAAGTGGCTTCTATTCCTGTTTCTTTTGTCTGATGACCTGACCCAGCAAATCGCTTTATGTTCCTTGAGTGAAGGGGGAAAACACCAAGGCTAAACATAGCCTCCATTGTCTTTACTTTTCTTATGTTGTACTTCTTCAAGCGATAAAGATAGTAACCGTTAAAATGCTATCTGTCCCTCAGACAGACCAGGTGGCCCCCTGGCTGCTGTTGAGGCACAGAAGCAGTGCTCCACGTTGGGCAGTGCGTGGTGTTTCCAGAGAATCCCAGACATCGTAGCGCTAACCAGACTCCCGGCCGCTTCCCGTGCAGCTATCCGCGGCCTCGGTAAAGTGGGAAGTTGAACGCAGAGCCCAGCCTGTACCTCCCTGACCAAGGATAAAAGACCACTGAGGCCAAGCGAACCCCCACAGCCGGCTCTGCCGCTTTCCGGCACACTGTCGGTTCCTTCCTCCACCCGCCGCCACCGGCTGAGGTCTGCGGTGTGCCGGGCTCCGTGCCGGGCACTGGGTGGCCATGCTGGGTCTGTGCTTGACAGCTTGTGGCTCAGTGGAAGCAGACACGTAAACAGATAATTAGGGTTCAGTCAACGTCTGGGCCGGAAGATCGAAAGTCAGACAGAGAGCTGTGGGCGCCTAGTGGCTAATACGGAGAAGGCATATCTACAGAGAAGGTGATGTGGAGTTGGCTCTGCTGGACTAGAAAGAGCCCCTTGCTGGAAGGATGAAGGCAGGAGGAGAAGAGTCCAGGCCTTTGCCAAGGCGCAAGGGCGTGAAAGAGCTGATGTTTGGGGGGGAAACGGTAGATTCATTGCAGACACATCGTGCTCACGTTTGACCGGTGGATCCAGTTAAGAACCGAGTCTTAATCATTTCAACGAGGAAATCTTACCGTTAGGGTCACAGAGGGTTACTCTTGGAACGGAGCAGAGTGGTTCCCCCAGGCAAACAGGAGCACGCCAGCGCTAGCCATCCAACCCGGTCCCCGCCGGGGATTCGAGAGGGACCCTGAACGCAGTTGGGGCACCTACCTCCTCTCACAGAAGTTCCCTGTGCCCATTCCTGAGGCTGCTTCACTAAACTCCCGCTTTATTAAGGGTAGCTGGTACGTAAGAACTACTCTCTGGGCTGTGTCCACAAACCAGGGGGAGGGTGCTTTATGGGCTCTTTCAGGGGTCCTTGAAGATGGTTTCGACTCTGCCTGCTTCTTGTCTGATGTCACAGGAAGTTCAGGGTGTCTAGAGCAGGGTGAACTGGGGAGATGGGGTCAGGATGCCAGGCTAAAGCGTTTGCCTCCTTTCTGCAAGGCCATGGGCAACTGCCTGGGGTCAGACCATGCTAGGCATGGGCCCCGAGAAGTTCTCTGGAGGCAGTGAGGAGGTGAGCCTGGAATGGGGAGGCCTGCGCATCCTGTCAGGATGCACCAAGATCACGAGGTGGCCATGGGGGAGGGATGGTGCTGTCAGATGAGAGGGACCGAATGTTCTGCTTAATTGACTCCCAAGTCCCCTTACTTCTCATGACTTCCCTGGAGATGGGAAAGTTCCAGCGCAGTGAAATTAAAATGGAATAGAAAGTAGTTTCCTCTGAGAATGGGATCAATTCTTTTTAATTTCACGGGTTTCCCAAGGCCTCGAACAGAGGCGGTCTGTGTTGAGCCTTGGGTTCCTTGAGCAGGGCTACTGTGGTTCCATGTTGGGGCCCCTGCTGCTCTGTGGCTGGGCTCCCTGGGTCCTTCCTCAGTTGGTCGCATTCCTGACCCACCTGATGCCTCAGGGCCCTGTCTCCAAAGAGAAGTTGGTGGCCAGTGTTATCGTAAGAGAACTCCCTAAAAGACCGAAGGAGCAAACCCAGAGGAGGCTGGGATCATAGGCCCTGGCCGTGACCCCGGGCCTGCACCAGTGGGCTTGGTGGCCACATCCCCCACACGTTTGGAAATAGATTTGTCCTTATAGAGAATGTAGAAACCACAGGAGAACAAAAAGGAACACATATAAATCAGCCAGCTATCTCTCATTCGACTGTGAACATTTTGGTTTATTTTCTCTTAATCTTCACAGATAACATACATATTTGACAAAATAGGAATCCTGCTATATCCATACGGTTTTTCTGCCCTGTTGTTTCAGCTTTGGAATTACATCATTAACATTCTCTGGAACAGTCCTGTTTTCATGCTCTGTCTTCCTCCCTGGTCGTTTATGTCACCAGCCCCGCCTGGAGGGTGTTTCAGTTGTGGCTCCCATTCCGCTGTCACTCGTGTCACTTTGCAGAACATCATGACACGCAAATCTTCACTTGGTTCTGAGGATAACTCTTCTTTTTGCGAAGCAGATAACAGATAATTTTACTTTATTATTAGTTTACTGATCTTTCAACTGCTAACAAATGTCAAATCGAAACTGGTTTAAAAGAATAGTGGCTGCTCCAGGGACAATGGGCAGTGAAGACTTATTTCAAACAACATAAATGCTACTTGCACAAAGGCGATTGATTCATGGTGATTATTTGTCAAATTTAGTGAACGGGCCATGTATGGAGACTTGTCGTGCACCGGGGCCCAGGAGGATTCGGAGAGGGACGGGAATTGAACATTTGGTGACTGGCCTGGTTTGGTCCCAACTGGTCTGGGCTTCTGGAAAACCTCTCCCCCGCATCTCCAGCTTCTGAGGCCCCCTTGTGGGAATAGCCTCTGGCCGGTTCCTCCCACGTCCCCTGCACAGTGTCCCAACCCCTTAGACGTGTCTCATAACTGTGGCAGGGCACCCTAGATGAGAGTGTCACATTTAGCCCTAATTTGGCTTATCTTTGGCTCGTGAGCCTCCTTTTGGGCCTCACTGGTCAATTCCCTTTGAGCCTGTCCAGTAGCTGCTGACACTCAGCCCAGGGTCTGTCCTTTGATGTCTCTCTGTGTCCTTTGAGAAGTGGCCTAAGTGGTGGGGATCTGGGCCTAGGAGTTGGACCCTGTGTGGTCCTTGCGGACTGGTGCACTCCTGTGGGTTTCACCATGGTTTTCTGAGTGGATGGTCCACCCTGTACGACTCCTAAACTCGTGGAGGGCAGGGCCGATGTCGGGCTCCCTGTGGTTCCTTCCCCTCAGCGCTGCAGTGTAGTGAGAAGAACAGGGCTCTGGGTTGGGCCAGGCTGCGGTCATTTGTGTGGCCCCGGGCCACTCACTCAACTTCCTCCAGCCTCCGTCTCCCCACTTGGGCAGTGATGGTGCACAGGGAGCCTTGTGGGTTACAGCGGCCAGGGGGATATCTGCTCCCCCGTGGGAGTAACTGACTGCAGTGCTTTGAGAATCGGTGTGCATCGAACCCCTAGCTGAATGTCATTTCAGGTTTTACGTCCGTCCTTCTACAGGCTGAACGACTCAAGCCATAGTTTTTTGTATATTCCTGTGTGTACAGTTTATAAATGTGTGTCAATTAAGAAAGCCAGAACCTTGCCAATATGTTGATCCCTGGAAGCACAACATATTCTTAACTCTGCTTTTGTGTTATAAACTTGAACACCAGAACTGTATCAGGTGTATTTGTGCCTGCCCTCCTAAAATTCTCAGCACAGTGCCTGATTCTATAGTAGAAAAACAACAAATAGGTCCTGAATATTTCACTAAAATAAAGGTTCAAGTGCAAAGTCAGCATTTCCTAGTTGGGGGGGGGGGGAGGTAGCTTCTTTATACATGTGTTCAAGCAGAGGCCTGAATATGTAAGTTTCAATTGTACCCTTAAGTCTGTGCAGCCCAAGACATGCTCCTATAGATTTTGACGGTTTAAAAAAAAAATTTTTTTTAACGTTTATTTATTTTTGAGAGACAGAGCATGAGTGGGGGAGGGGCTGAGAGACAGAGAGAGACAGAGACAGAGAGAGACAGAATCCGAAGCAGGCTCCAGGCTCTGAGCTGTCACCACAGAGCCTGACGCGGGGCTGGAACTCATGAACTGTGAGATCATGACCCGAGCTGAAGTCAGTGCTTAATCGACTGAGCCACCCAGGTGCCCCCAGATTTTAATGGATTTAAATGTCCTCGATGCCGTGAGAAATCAGGTGAACACAAGAAGAGTGCTCTATGGTTGGCGGCTATTGGTGATGACATTGATGTTGAAGAGAGTGGTGGTGGAGGCATAAATCAATTTCCAGTTTCTATCGTCAGCAAGTATTCTCGAGATGGAATTCAGATGAACTAACCTGGCAGTACCCCCCCTCCCCGCCCTCCAATTCGACCTTGACCCTCCCACATACCAAAAGACTCCTCTTTGGTCTTCTGCCAGGGCATTGAGTCCCAGCCCCAGAGCAGCCAAGCACTGAGAGAGACCGTAACAAACATACTGCCCTGATGCTGCAGGCCAGGGGAGGGGTGGGGCAGGTCGATTTCCCATCTATAAAATGGGAAGGCGTTTGGGTGAAAATTGTTGTTTTGGACTTTCCTGGGAGGCAGTACGGACTTTTGGGAAGGAAGCTATACCAGGAGGCCGGCGGGCGGTGGGGAGTGTGGTACATGCATCTCAGGCTTGCTCTGCTCCTGATGCAAAACTCTGGGATTCCCGTCCCCTCTCTGAGCCTCAGTTTCTCGTCTACACAGTTAGAGCCTTCCTGGCTCTAGAATCCTGTTTAAGATGAACTCTTGGTGAGGATTCAGAGGGCTGGCATGGAGGCCTTCTCAAATCCTGTTTTCTCTTTGTCATTTCTGAACCAGAAAATGACAGATGGAGAGACCTGGACAGGAAATGCCCTCTTCAGATCGAGCAGCCGAGCGCCAGCATCTGGGAGTGCCTGCCCGAGAAGTGTCAGGACGGCGCTCTCTGGCACCGGGAGGCAGCGACTGCCTGCGCGGTGACCAACCTGATCAAAGACCTCAGCCTCAGCGACCACAACGGGAACCCCTCAGCACCCCCCAGCAAACGCCAGTGCCGGTCACTGTCCTTCTCCGATGAAATGTCCAGCTGCCGGACATCGTGGAGGCCCTTGGGCTCCAAAGTCTGGACTCCGGTGGAGAAGAGACGCTGTTATAGCGGGGGCAGCGTCCAGCGCTATTCCAACGGCTTCAGCACCATGCAGAGAAGCTCTAGTTTCAGCCTCCCCTCCCGGGCCAATGCGCTGTCCTCGCCCTATGACCAGGCAGGGTTCCACCACCGCTTTGGAGGTCAGCCCTGCCAAGGGGCGCCGGGCTCGGCCACCTGTGGACAGGCGGGCGACATCTGGAGCCCTGACCCGACCCCCGTGGGAGGTGGCCGGCTCGACATGCAGCGGTCCTTCTCCTGCTCGCACGAGCAGTTTTCCTTTGCGGAGTACTGTCCACCCTCAGCCAACAGCACACCTGCCTCAACACCAGAGCTGGCCAGGCGCTCCAGCGGGCTGTCCCGAAGCCGCTCCCAGCCGTGTGTCCTTAACGACAAGAAGGTCGGCATTAAGCGGCGGCGCCCAGAAGAGGTGCAGGAGCAGAGGCCTTCCCTAGACCTTGCTAAGATGGCACAGGTAAGAGCCCCGGCCACACGGGAGGCCCCGCGGGAGCACCTGGGTGCTCTTGGGAGCCTCTGCTGGGCCTGGCCCATCCCAGGCAGATGCGTGGGGCCCAGCAGTGGGTTCTTCCCCCGTTTTTTAAAATCCTCTTCGAAGAAAGATGATACCAAGTTCGTTTTTTAATTTTAGTGTCTTTAAAATCAGAAAAGTCAGAAATGCTCTTTCCCTGTGAACACAGTGCTGGCGGTACAGGGGCAGGCAGGTGGCGGGAGGCGAGGCGTTACGGGGGCAGGCCGTTGTCACCCAGCACTGGTGATCCCCTTCCGGCACCTCGCTGGAGCCTCTGTGCCTGAAACCCCGTCCCTGTGGCACAGGCCGGGACTCCTTGTCCTTCGGATTAGGCTGGTCCCGAGATCAGGACTGTGGGTAATGGTTTTTAGAGGGTGAGGGATCGGAGCAGCACTTAGTCATTGGATTAAACTGTCAACAACGTGAGACCATCAAGACGCTGTGATTGCTGTCCTCTGTGCCACCTCCGTCCGCCTCGCCGTTCACCGTAGGCGAGGCCTCCGGCCACATGCGCCCTCCCGCGCACTTTCTCCTCTGTGTCTTGGAGCCCTGCCTCGTGCTAACACTGATCGCGGGTGTTGATTCGAACGAGATGAACTTGGGAGTTAATATTCTGTCTTTAGGGCAGCCTCTGAGCCTGAGTGCCCCCTGCGTTTGGTTCTTCCCGAGGAGGCCTGAGGTTGTGAGTTTGACAGTGAGGCCCAGGGAAGGATGGGTGGGGGGGTGGGATGCAGTCTGTGTCCTGTGTCCGGGAGGTCCTGCGCTCCGTGCCATGGTTTCCCCTTCCTCTTGTGTTGTTGTGGAAGCATCGGTCACCGCTGGGTGTGAGGGGACCAAGACCGGCTGGCCTCGCTCATGCAGCCCGTGGCCACTTCTGGGCAGGCAGCCTCGTGTCGACTCCTCTTGGACCTGACGGCCTTCCTTCAGTGCCCAGGGCTGCTTTTTTCAGCCGGACCTCATTTTGCTTTAGAGTGAAAGTGCCGCTTCTGTCGGTGGCATTTCCTTCTCTTCTCTAGACCCCCTCCCAGCCTAGAGGTACCTGCCCTCCCCTCCCCCGGCCCGCAGAAAGAAGAGGGGCAGGTGTCTCAAGTCTTGAGCAGGCACCTTGCCCCAGAGTCCAGACTGTCTGGCTGTTCGCTTCAGAGCCCGGCCACGGCCCGGCGCAGCTGGAGGCCAGGCTCGTGACAGACTCTGCCTCCCCCGTGTTGGGGAAGAAGCCTCCGTCCCCTGCCCCCATTTTCCAGTTTCCATTTCTTCCATCGCTGCCCCCAGGTGTGTCCCCTTCTTTTTCCTGAGTTGTGGACACGTTTTGCTTTACTAGCTAGACAGCGGCCGAACACATTCATGTGTGTTGGACACGCGAGCGGAATTTTCCTTCTCCGGAGAAATCTAAATAGGTAAAGAGGCTGGAAAGGTGACGGGTTTGGGTGACTTCTGAAGGAAACCCGGAGCCCTGAGTTCTGGGTGCGATAAATGGCTTCAGTTAAATTTTTAACGTTGAGCTTATTTTATTACCTAATAAGCTAGATAGGTAATAAAAACAACTTACACGTGTTATTATATTTTACCAGCCACAAGTCGGAGTAACACCACTGGCGTCACTGGAGACGTTTCCCGTCCTCACTCGGGTAGAAACTGTTTGAAAATCTATTGCTCGGTGGGGCTGTGCCCAGATGTGTAGATTGCTTCATTGGCTCCAGGCAGGCCTCCAAGATCCCGGTGAGGCCGCCCTGATTCCTCCCGCCTTTCTCTAGCCAAGGCCTGGGTAGGGCAGAGTCCGGGGCAAGTGCAGAAGGGGCCCCTGGGAAGTGTGTGTGCCGGAAGGGGGCGACTGGAGCCCTGGGGTTGGACCCTGAGCCACCCCGACCAAGCCTCTAGAGCCCCGGCCAGTCCTGTCTCCACGGAGCTCTGCCTGCTTTGGCTCCCCCATTGTATAATTCATGGCCTCGCGAGGTGGGCCTTGCTTTTCCAGGAGCCTTTTTAAAAGCCAGGCCTAGGGCAACTCCAGTGCCTTTGCAGAGAGCCCTGGATCCAGCCTGGAACGTGTAGGGTCCTCTGCCTGGGAACCCCGGGAGCTGAACATGTCACTGGTATACAGACACCTGCCCATGGCCAGGTGACAGCTGACACGGGACCGCCCAGATACCAGCCCCCGTGGGCTGTGGCTCTCTCAGCATTTGTAACTGCTGGGGCAGGAGCAGGGGCTGCGCATCTATGGAAAGACAGGCCTGTAGCCAGGGTCGGCACTGCTCTGTTTCTCCAACCTAGATCCTGGACCCTTTTTTGTAGGTCTTGTGATCTTGGTTTGTAAATACTCACTTTTCTGGGGGCAGGGGGTTCTAACTGAGCATTTTTGTGAAGGAGCCCCTTTGTGTGCGTAGATCTGGGACCAGGTGTATGAGATTGTCACATCAAAGGTGCAGAGAGTGCCTTTCCGGTTAGACCCTTGGCGTACGGGGAGTTCTGAGAAACCCCGGCTTCCTGAGGCGTTGACTGGGGCCGGAGCCTTCGGGGCCCAGGGCACACCTCCCAGGGTGTGGGTGAACATGCAGGAGCTTTTCTCTGGCCGTCAGTCAGGGTGCCCAGAGCAAGGGTGGGGGGTACCCAGAGCCCCTGAAGCCTTGTCCATCCAGCCCCTCCTGCGGACACTGCTGTCCTTCTAGAACATGGTGTTCACTTTTGGATCTGCATTTGGGGCCTGGGGGCACAGCGACAAATCAGAAGGCGTCCAGATGAGGGGCAGAAGGCTGGCAGCCCTGGGCAGATTACTTGACATCTCTGTGCAGCAAAGCACATCGTCCCCACAGCTGCTGTGGCTTCTGCCGGAAGAATAAGGGAAATAATGCATGTGTGCATGTTTGTATAACGTGTCAACCTGTACGTGTGTGTCTGCGACGTGCAGATATATGTACGTGTGAACGTACGTGTGTGTCTGTATCCTTGCCTGTGTGTACACGCACCACCTAGCGCCCTGGCTGGTGCACAGGGAGTGCGGACCGGGTGCCCCTGGCGTTGCTGTTGTACATGTTGGGAGGGAAGGCGTGGGCGCGTTCTGGGCGACTCCAGAGGCAGAACTGGGAGGGGGGTGATGGTCCCAGGAGGCACACTCAGTCCCTTGTGAGGACTCCCTTTTTTCTGTGTTTGCCCATCTCTTTCCTTCTGTGTTTCCCTTCCCTTTTCTGCCCTTGCCATTTACTTCTTCTTTGTTCCTCTTCCTGCCTCGTCCTTTCCTTTTGAGAACGGGGAGGAGGCCTGCCCTGCCGCTCAGCTCGGCCTGCGGTGAGCTCCGTGCTCGGAGCCGAGGGTCGTGAAGCGGTGTTGGATCCGGAACCACCTCCGCCAGAGGAGGTTGGCCACGTGTGAGCGTTTTGTGTCACGTCTGCAGCCCGTGGGACTAGGTAGACGTGGTCTTGGGAGCTCACCGGATGCCCCGCCCTGCCCCTGGCCGGCACCCCTGGGCACAGCTGGCCGGCAGTGGCCGATGCCTCTCGGGCAGTGAGGCCGGACCGCGGTGGGTCGGGGGGTCAGCAATTGCCTTCAGACCTGTCTGCCTTTGCTCACGTCTTGTTAAAACCTCAGCGCCCAGCGCACGGACGGGGATGCCGAGCGAGGCTGCAGGCGGCTCCTGCAGCGGGAGGGGGGAGGCTGCAGCGAGGAGGGTCCCCGCTGGGAGAACTGGCTCGAGGACCCAGCCCAGGGAGGGCCGCCCCACCCCGGAATTGGCATCGTAGCCACTCGGCTCCCAGAGCAGCTGCCCGAACGCGGCCCGGAGGGTCAGTCACGCCCACCCCTGCCCGGGTCACATGGTGCTGACCTCCCGCTTGGCTTTCCCCACGTGACCCCTTCTGCCCGGTGTTTTGTGTGAATGTGTGCCATTGAGAGCAGGGCCCGGCCTGAGCATCGGAGTTGTTTATCAGCGGGACTTTTGCTGACGTGTTTATTAGTTATTGCTTCTTGGAGACTTGGCGTGACTAGCAAGCGTCGGTTGACTCCCAGCGAGACCTGCGCCGTGCGTGGCCATTTAGGCCCGGATCGCATGCGTGGGAGCCAAGGTTTCAGGGGGAAAAAAAAAAAAAAAAGCAACAATTAAAAAGAGGTACCCGCCGAATGCCGTGCCCCTGGGTGTCCCAGTCCTTGCTGTATTTTTGACTCCAAGCTGGTCAGCCTGCAGGAGCAACAAATTGTATTTCTCAACAGCGCTTCAAACAGAAGCGAGGCATTTGTGAGGAGGGGTCGGGATGCTGAAACAGAGGTTTGATTGATCGCAGCTGCCCACACACTGAGTCCTCAAACCTCCTGGAGCAAGCCCCAGAACAGGCAGCAACTGTTGTGTTAGCAGATGTTTGAGGGGCCCAGAAAGCTGGCCGGGGGCAGCGTGGGGCAGGGGAGAAGCACGAGGTAGCAACTGTGCCGAGCACTGATCCAGGACGAGTCTGGGAGTCGAGTCCAGGAGAGCGGGGTTGGCTGGAGCCCTGGGGGCTCCGAAGGGCAGGGGGCTGTGGCCCGAAGCCGCCGGAGGGGTATCACAGATGCTCATCAGTAACTCTTGGCTCTTTGTTGGCACGGTGTCCCTGGGTCAGCCTTCCACGGTGCACCCCGCTTACCGGCAGGGGTTGCCTTTAGCAGGGGAGCGGCCCTCCTCAGCCCCCGTGTGGGGTGGCCCTTTGCACTACTGGCTGCGTGACCTTCCCGCTCAGGCAGCCCCGGCAGCCACAGCCAGCCGTGCTCTTCCTTGGCAAAGTCCCTGGGCTCAGGCCTGGCTCGTCCGAGCCTTTGTGGCCGCCTCCTGCCTGCACTGCCCCCGGCTGGCCACTCTTCCGGGTTTAGTTGCCTGCAGTCTTGCACCCTTAGACCTCTCCTGCTGGCGTGGGGAACCGTGCGGATGGCAAATAGGGGAATTCAGAGATGCATCGCCCTTTACAACACAGAACGCAGGCAGGCATGAG